TTGGCGGCGGTAAGATAGGGAAGTGGTTCAAAAAGTTCAGGGGATTGCCACGTGTTCAGAGCTCCGGTGAAATACTGGCGGGGGCAGAACAGTCGGAGTTGCTGCAGTTCATGGTCAGCATGGTGAAGGACTGTGTGTGGGCCGAGAAGTTCTTGGAGTTGTCGGAGTAAACGAGCTGTAAACCGGGGTTGTTGTTGGAGATGGGCGTTGTGCAGTAGTATTGCTGCCATTGTGCGTCCATGATGGAGTACTGGCTGGAACACGAGTGAGGGCAATCGCGAGTAGTTGCTTGAGCAGTCTGAAAAAGAATGTACAGGAGAGGTAAAACCATGTAGCCTAAGAGTGAACAGTGGTGAAAATGGTAGTCAACTGAACTGTCCGAAAAAGTTGAAACGCCGAACTGCACAGTAAATCAAGCGCAAAATCAGAGCAGAAACTGAAAACAGAAAAAGTGAGGCAGCGAGAAAACAGCTTGCATTTTCCGTGGTGCGTAGAGAAACTGGTGGAGGCCTCGATGTGGATGGCTACAGTCCGAAGATTGGTGTCACAGTGTAGGTGGTTCTGGGAAGTTGAGTGGTGGGTTGAAATCAAACATACATCTTCGGAGCAGGAGGCTCTTTTGGCCGGCTTAAAGCTGCGGCGCGTTCAGTGGTTGTCGGCGTGCCAGGGGTCATGCTCCGGTTCATAGTTTTGGAGGTGGAGTGGCAGGGGCGCCCCTGCGTGTCGTAATACCCTTGTGGCAGGGGATGCAGGACTGTGGCAGTCGGTGTGGTGGTTGGAGGTGGCGTGGTGTATTCTGGAGCCAGTGGAGCTGGCGGCGGCTGTGATGGTTGTACAGGATAGTAGGATGGCCATGCGTGTACCGGCGGGGGCGAGGCCTGGGGTGGTGCTGAGGCCGGTGTTGGTTGGGCTGTCGCTCCCTGGAAGATGGGCCATCCTGTGGCTGAAGGGACGGCAGGGGTTGGTTGATGGCCGGAGCCTGGTGGGTGGGGAGCAGGGTTGGCGGGGGATGTTTTGGAAGAGGTTGCACGGTGGGAAGGAATTGTTGTGGTGTTGGACGTGGTGCTGTGCGGGTGGGAACTGGGGAGCCAGAACGTGGATCTGGTTGTCGAGTGCGGGTAGGGGTGGTGGAACGTGGTGGGGTCTTGGAGCGCTTGTTGCGCGGGGTGCCGCCAATAGGGGAAGGGAAGTCCTGAGTGAGTTCAGGGTGTGTCGGAGTGGTGACAGTAGGGGTGGGGATAAGGTTGACGTACTGCCAGCGCTCGTGAGGTTGCTTGTTTGCTGCGGCAGTGAAGCTGGGTGAGGTGGTGCTGGGAATGTTGGCGGTAGTGTTGGAAGAGGCTGATTGCTCCGGGGGTGGGGTGGCCATGATGCCTGCAAATGCAGGTAAGTGGACAATGCCATTGATGTCTGTTTGTGTGTGGCGATGGTGAATAGCCGGTCGTGGGGTAGTCTGTTGGGATTGATGGAAGTGTGGGGCTGTAAAAGGGCTGTCCAGCACGGACATCCATGGTGACGGGGGAAAAGGCCGGTGGAGTTGGGGGTCGACTTGGCGTGTGTGAACAAGGTAAAGGCTGTGCAGGTTGGCCAGGACGTCGGTTGCTTGTTGAAGTAGGCGATGGAGCTGACTAAGAGCAATCGTAGTTCGATGGAGGAGTCGGGCTTGATCGGCATGAGACTGCATCTTGAAGTGCAGTGTCGAGGGCAAGCAGCTGAAGTGGCGAGCTGGATCAGCGGGCGGATGGCGCATCGCAAGTGTCAGCGCTGCATGAACGGCCGGTAAATACGAGCGGGGCATGCAATTGAATTACCGGAATGAATTATTGAGCATGAATTTTGCAGTACATACAGAGTCACATTGTAAGGCGGGGCTGAATCAATACAACCTGAAAAGACATGAAGGAGATCCGCAACTGGTGATCATGTAAGGAAAACCATGGTCAAAAGAATCTAGCAAACGTAGAAAACCAAAAGATGGTCAAAGCGATCATCCACGAAACAGCGATCAAAGGGTCAAACTGAGCACAAAACGAATAGTGGTTGCAATGGTTCAAAAAGGAAAAGCAACTTGTTATAAATAGATTGAAGTCCAAGGCATGTGATTGCAGCTCGCTGGCACTAAGACTAAGACTGGAGCTCCGATTTTGCGAAGCCGAAGTTGGTGGCGGAATGTGAAACGCGTGGAGAAGCCTCTCTCAAGTGTGGTGGGTTGACGTTGGTGTTGAAGAAGGTGAGTTGGTCGGTGGTATGCGGTGAAGACTCAAAGGTCGGGTGGTGTTGCATTGATAGACCACGCCAGTCCTTTGACAATGGCGTTATGGGGGTGAATCACCCAGCAGCGGGCTTTGGAGTGGCAAACAGCGCCATGGTCTTGTTGCAAAAGGTGCATGGCTTGGGCTTCACCGCCGCTGGTGAACTTAGTCCCCCGGCCCCAGGCTAGGAGATGGATCATGATAGAATGGATGTTTTTTGCCAGCTTCCATGTGTTGTGGAGTATGCGGGCTTGTTCGTAGTTGTCGTGCGTTTGCTGGTGAGTGATGCGTGTGGCTTGGGCGAAAAAGCCCGGGTTGGCTTCAAAGTGGAGGGTGCTGGGCAGGAGACGGCCCTGTTGGAGGATGGCAGTGATGTTGCCATGGGGGCCTCTATGACCGGCGTTGATGTGCACTGTTTCTGGGGTAGTAGAGGTGGCGCGGGTGGCAGGCGGTGGTAAGTGGCCTTGTCGACCAGACTGGGAATGTTGTGTCATAGGTATTGGTAGCGTCATTCCACTTCACATGGGTGAGTTGCCGGAAATCTGCTAAGTCGTCGTGGGTGTAGCCGCTGTCAGCGAGAAGTTTGGCGACGTACGCATGTTGTGGTTTGTTTTCAGCTGCCAACTGCGCCGCATGAAAGTTGAGCCACCATTCGATTTGTTCTTGGCGGGAAAGCTGGTGGAAATGTGGTGGTGCTTTCCAAGGCGGGTGGGGGCGTCGCATGGCTGGAATGTTGGGAAATTCCGCCTGGGACATGTTTGTGATCTGGTGGTGAGTTGTGGACTGTTGATTGGGCCGGAGAGTGATGGGTGCGTGGGAGCGGCTGCGGGAGCGGCTGTCTGATGTTGTGAGATATGAGGTTGAAGGGGAACGGCGACGCCGACGGCGTGCCGACGAAGCTTTGGCGGTAGAAGCGGCAGGGGAGTGGTGATGTCTGGTGCGCCGGTCGCGTGTACGGCGACTACGGTGGCGGCGGCGACGTCGGCTGCGTTCTCTGCTGCGGTGGGTACGGCCGGCGGTTGCAAGAGAGGCCGGTGGTGAATGGGCAGTGCCCGAGTGGGTCGGTGTAGCTGCTGGAGGTTGTGTGTGGGAGCGCTTGTGGGACTCCGTAGTTGGTGCTGAAGGTGCCTGCAGTGGGGGTGGTGGTGGTGGTGGTAGTAGTGGTGGAGCTGTTGCGAGCAAGGTGGGCGGTTGGTGATGTGGAGGGTGGTGTAGAGGCTGTAGTATTGGTGGCCAGTTGGGAGGTGCCCGGATGGGCACTGGCGGAGGATGGGATGCTCAGATCGCCAGGAACTGGTGGCGCAGGTGCCACCGTGGAAGGCGTTGGGTCAGAAAGCGCAGTGGTGGTTGAGGCTATGTGAGGGTGGTGAAGTGTGAACCACTGGTGGGAAAAGTAAGGTTGCCAAACGCCTTGAGATTGGTCCCAGTGAATGGGAGTCGGCTGTGCCAGTGGTTGTGGTGCCTGCGGAGCGTGTGGAGCGGGTGGTGCTGTGATGTGGGCTGCACAGGAGGTGGGTGGTGTAGAGGTGGTGCTGGCATGGGCTCAAGTGCCTGCATCTGAGGTGGTGGTGGGTAGGCGTGTGTGTGAGCCACGAAGGTCGGTGCCGGTGGAGGATGGGTTGGCAAGTGATGTGGCCAGGTAAGAGCTGGCGGTTGCTGTGAAGTGGCCTGAAAGTGAGACAGGATCGGTTGTGGTTGCTGATGGGACAGGACGGTAGGGAGAGGTGCCGTTGGTGGAGGATGGTGCCATGGTGATGGCTGAGTGCTGACAGTAGGTATGGTGGGTGCGGTACTTGGTGATGGCCATTGTGGATACGGCCAGGGATACTGCATGTGGAGAACAATGGAGAGGCCAAACCGAAAGGCTGCAGAAAATGGCGCCGGCGCGGCACGGCAGCGGAAGTGAGAGGTTGGAAATCCTAGTGAGATCTGGAGCCTGAGTGCATGTGTAGGGAAGTTGAGTAAGGTGAAATCTCGGCATGCAATGCAATCTCTGGGATCTGCAGTGCTGAGCACGCGTAAGTTGATCGTTGGCTAAACGGCTACGGTTGGAAAAAATTAAAAATTGAGGAATGCAGCAATGCACAACACGAATGGATTTCAGAACTTTGGGTAGACATTCCGTCGCTTATAGCCCGGCGGCTCGAAAAATCAGTTAATTCAGGGATAAAGTTGAAGAAACGGAAAGGCAGTTATAAAAATGAAGGTCGGTGATTTCCAGTATGATTTCGGCGCCTCCTTTCGGAGGGTCACACCCAGTACCCAAGTGGGAAGACTGAGCGGTCCACACTTCGAACTTGGTTTTCAGTTAGACTCAATTGCCACGATGGGAAGGATGGCGATGGAACGGAAAGGTGCAGGAGTCAGCAAAACAGTATTGTTGAACAATGTTTTCACTCTGACAGTCAGTGTGATTGCAAGTCGGCTGCCAGCCTGCGGTGGAAAAAGGTTTGGGGGTCTATCATGCAAGGACCATGGAAACAAAACGTGGAAGAGTGGAGTCACAGCTTAATCAAACGTTCCGTCAGCGCAGGTACGCCAGGATGGCCAATCCTGGTATCCCGTGTTCAGACTAGCGTTGGGCGTAGTCATCTGAACACGCTACGCCCCCCTGCCTTTGTTACAGTGGAAAGGTGACAACGTGGAAAACCCTTAGAACCAGGGTGTGACACACACAACACACACACACGCACACGCAAAACTCTTTGTGAACAGCCACTTTGCCGTTCACAAAGTGCAACGTGTCCCAGGATGCTCAAAATAGTTGAGTTGTACTGCAATTGCAGTTCTGCATCGTGGGACACTTGCCCGACTTGCCCAAGCTTCAGGCTATTGTATGGATAGTTTCCTGCAAGTTCGATATGTTCAAGCGCTAATTTTCCGGTAATACTCGGTGTATGCGCAGGCATTCCTGGCCGGAAGGCTGGAGCCGTTCTGCGACTCAGAGCTTTGCAGAGTGTTGAGTGGCAAGAGAGTGGGCATGGCCCAGAAAGAGGGAAACCAATGCAAAAACTCTGAGCAGATGGGGCACAGGTGAAACCCATTAGTTTGGGGCATTTGTGCCCGTGCATCTCGGGACAAACCCAAGTTGGTCCAAGTGTCACCATGCGAGGACCCATGACTAAAGGTTACCAAAGGTTTGGACCGTGCCAGAACTCCAACGGTGCAAGAATTATTTTGTTTTGACAGAATAAATCAAGTTGTGCCTCGAACTGTTTGGAGAGTCCAAGTGATTGGGCGTTGCTTTTGGATCAGAAGCAACGAAGTGAGGTCCTGGATGAGCGAACTTCCTGATGAAGACCGTCAGGCTAGGGGTGCTTAGCAATCCCAGAGATTTAAGCAAACCGCATAACCTTTTAGTCAATTATGTTGAACTTCATATTTGGATATATTTGGAAAATTCATTGATGGTGAGATGCTAGATGTTGTGTATGCCACATCCGCTTGCTGGTTCATCCAGCGACCAAGTCATGTTTCCTCATTTATGATGTTTTTACGAAGCACTGCTTGTTTCACACGATCCGCAAAACTTGGTGCTCTGCATCCTAGGAGACAACTGGATCAGTTCGTAAGTCTCAGCCTTGGAGAAGAAGCGAGGGTCCAATCGCAGCCTCAGTTTGGCAGCCGGGCCATTGATGGCCTTCAAGTCCAAAGATTATTGAACGCTTTGCAAAACATGACGACATAGTGACTCCTTACATTTGGCTCTTTGTCCTCTCAATTTCGACAGGATCTAGGGAGCGATGGTGTCGGGTTTGAATGAGATTGACATAGATTGACAGCCCCTACAAGATCTACAATATAGACCTGGGACAGTAACTAATCTTCGTTTGGCGCAAGGAGGCATTGATGAGCATAAAGGTAATGAGGTGTATGCTCAAAGGTCAACGTCGCTGTGTGCTGCATGATACCGATGATTTGGGTGTCAAAGCTCGGGTTGCTTTGGTGTTGTGTCGCAGCCACAGCTGCTGTGAGACTCATATTACAGTAAGAGGTTGCAAGCCAAGGCTTGTTGGACGTCAGTGTCGGCAAGTGGTGGAGGAGATTCGACACAGCTTTCCAGTCAAAGTATGATGCATGAAGCTTCCGTACTACATTCAGCAGAAGGTAGCAGCCAGGTTTACCACCGCCAGATGTGAGCTGTCTTGCTTTGCTTGGGAGTGCCTTCTGGAATAGCTACTTTAGGAACTTGCTTGTCTTTGGTTGACGATTGTATCAAGCAGCTAAAGACTCATTCCAACCCGGTATATAGCATCCTATTCTCAGCCACTGAATTGGTAAGCTAACGTGCTGTGCGGCGAGCTTGCTCGACAGGAGAGCCCCTTTGAAGCTCTCATCGAGGTGGATCTGATTAGTCAAACGATCTTCTTGCCGACTCAATATCCCTTGGCTTGGCCAGGGCTACGATGAATGGAGAAGAGATCATCAGATGCGGACCTTGCAGTTGGACATTCTAGCGTGTGGTGCCGAGCGAGATACAATCAGATACACCATCGGTTTCTAAAGAATCTTCAGCGGCATAAACGTTGGTAAATGAGTTCAGTCGGGAATTCGCTGGTTCCAAGTTGCATGGATGGAGTGTCTATTGAGAGAAGCACGAGTGCAAAAAGTCCTTCTCTGGAGGCCCATGCTTGCCACATGGAATATCACTGCCTGGGGCTTAGATGCAGAGGACACAGGCTCAACACATGTAACAGAGAGGACATGATTCAACAAGGTTATCGCTTTTGAGGGGGGCCTATCGCCTTCAACAGGTATATATACAGTAATATAATGTAATATACCTTTATAAGGTTATCGAAAAAGCTCCTAGTAGCGTTAGTAGCGTCCTTGTTCCTAGTAGTAAGGCCACGAGCCCCTAATAGCATGCTACTAGTAGCGATGCCCTTTGCTCCTAGTAGCGTCCTTGTTCCTAGTAGTAAGGCCTATCGCCTTAACAGGTACGGTATATATATATACAGTATATATACAGTATTAGATTGCTAAATTCACGACTGCCCTTTACTAAACTGGTCATCGCACTTTTTGGCGGTTGCTCACATAGAGTCCAGAACAGTGACAGAACAAAACCTGGAGAACTCGAAATGATTGTTCCATATTTTTCCCATTGGCTATGTGGCTATGGCGCGTCTGGCTGAAAAGTGTGGAAGCAGTTATTCTTCTCCAAGTGAAAAGACTGGTTTTGTTTCAAGGCGCGCCTGATATCATTTCATGCGGCAAGCAAGGTGTTTATTAGAACTAGCATGACTGAAGTTGTTGTGCACCATATGGACTCACATGGACTCACCTAGGAATCTGTCCTAACGACCAACATTTGTGAGCAAATGGATCTTTAGATGTTTGACTTATTGGAGGTGGATGACCAAGCCAGTGCATCAGAACACCTGTGACTTTCGGGGGGTTCTATGGCTGGTGTGGCTTGTTCATGGCTCGATGATTCACTCCATCCGCCCGGCATTGTCAGGTGTGGCGACTGGATTTTGGTGTGAATGAGGTGTGGTCGTGGCACCGGTCCTGAGATGTCTTGACTATTTCAACTGTTTCCTTTGTCTAGACCGCAATGGGCACACGTGTTCTGTATGGATAGATGATCCGGCTTAATGAGATTTAGCTTGCTAGTTGGATGCTGCATGCAGAGCTGCTCCTAGGACACTGGAAGTTAGCCACTTGCAGAAGGACAGGACACAGATCCCAAGGGGTTCTATTATGTAAATTATGTATCTCTATTTTGTGCATACAAAACGCTGGGTGTCGTTGTTGTGCCATTGTGAACAATAACCCTACCATCCGATCAGCAAACATTCCAGTCCATCAGCGATCTCGCCGCCAGTGCCCCTCTGATGTGCTCAGAAGTATCTCAGCTGGATATTCTGGCTACTTCTTCGTGCATGCAAATGCCAGGCGGGAGTCTTGGCTTGCTGAATCTAACCCTTTCGCAGTCAACGTTTTGCGAATACCGACGCAAGCTTTAAATGTGACTCTCGAAGCCCCTGCAGCATTTCGGCAAGACGCAATGCATCCTGTGCGCAGTCAGCTTCATCACTGGGACCTCTCTTGCTTATGTACTGCAGCTATCTAGCCCGCACAAGGGGCCACTGCGGCACCAGACGTGATACGCACTAATACATGCAACCACTTTTTCTGTCAGTGCCAAGTTCCTCCCGGCTTGTGTTGTGGTTCGCACAACGACGGGCTCTAATATCAGGACATGTCAAACAGCAGTTGAACGAAAGACCTGGTGCACCCAACGTCTGCAAACTTCCCATGCGCCGTTGGTGGTTTGCCATGCGACCCGCAGCAGCAGCAACGCTCATTGCAAAGCCATGCAGCTAAATTTGCAAAGATGACAGACACAGAGTGACTGTGATGGTTGTCCTGTTTCTGTGGTTCTCCCATATTATATCATATGTTTTTTTGTATCACATCTATCAGGAGGTGATTGGAAGTCGGAAGTGTCAATCAATATGCTAATATATGCTAATTGCTAAATAGCCAGAATCAAAGTGCTTTATTTCTGGTCCTGGTTTCATACGTAGCTGTAGCACCGCATAAGACAGCTTGCTTGGCTGGCTGATCCAACCAAGCATTTTCTGCATCCTTTTCTGACATTAACAACACGGATTCTGCCTGTAAGGGAAAGGGTGATGTTGATGTGTTGGACTTCTAGGTCTCAAGATAGCTTCTTGTTTCTAATAGCAAATATTGTTCCTAGTAGTAAGGCCAGGAGCCCCTATATAGTAGCGAGCATTGCTCCTAGTAGCGATGCCAGGAGCCCCTAGTAGCGATGCCCGGTGTATGTCAAATTAGATGCCTGTGAAATAGAAGGGAAAGAGACGCCGAGGCAAAAGTCTTGCGGCAGATGATCGTAGTCACGAGCTTTCTGGAGACGAACAGAGGACAGTGGCGCTCTTCCAAAAATGCAGCAACTCTGTGGTACATATCAATACATTTGTGAGGAAAGAGACCTCCCCGTCGCTCGCTTACTTGGTTGAGTCACACATTTTGTTTTGTTTTTCGTTTTGGGAGGGGGTGAGACTGACTTCCCAGTGATTTCGTAACAGAATATTGAATATACTGTACATGCTGATTCTAAGCTTCGTTTGGCAAGTTCCTCAGAACAAGACCTTCTGCGACTGCAGGTATGGATTCTTTGGATCTCTCCAAGATATCAAGCAAGGGACTGGCAGTGGCTTTCTTTGGGATGCTGAGCACATTGTGACCAATTATCATGTCATCAAGGATGCATGTTTCAGACAATGGAAAGATGACTGTGAGGGGAAGATACAGTTCCCTCAAGTAAAGAATTGTGCTAAAACAACCCTCTAAATCCATTTGTGGCACATTTGCGGTGCCCTGCGTGCGCCCTTGGATGCCCCACCAGGTGGTGCTCCGTACAGTCGAGTACCGCCTGTATGTTTGACATCACGAAGATGCGTGTTGGTTGGAGCCGTTTGTGCGTTGGGGCTCATGAACATGTTCTAGTCATTCTAGTCTAGACAATCTGGTCCTTTGGGGGTGACTTGGCTGCTCTATGGCAGGATGCTGACAAGGCCACGATCGTTTTTGCAGATCACTCCTCCTTTGAAGCCACTCTGGTTGTGACTGAGCCAGACCACGATCTTGCAGTGCTGCGATGCCAAACTCCAGCAGCGTGCCAGGCCTTGGAAAAGGGTGTCTCAAGCAAGTTGCAAGTGGGCCAGAATCTTCACTTGCACTTTAGCGTTACGAAATGAGAATCTCTCAGAAATTGTCAAGCAAAAGCGGTAACTCGGTACAGCTTTCTTTTTGACCTGCATGAAGTAGGTAGAGAATTGATCAGAAAATATCAGAGCAATGCATCAATGAAGCAATTTTTTTATGCAGCACTTCATGGTAGTATGACTTGGCATGACCGATGTTGTTCGAGACTTGTTTGGCTATTCCATGCCTTCTAAAGGAAGGTCTTCGCCATCGGCAATCCCTTCGGTTTGGATCAAACCTTGACCAACGGCATTGTCAGCGGCCTTGGACGGGAGATGCAAGGGGTCAACGGCACACTGATGCGGAACCTGGTCCAGACGGACGCAGCGATCAATCCTGGCAACAGCGGAGGGCCTCTGTTGGATTCCAAGGGCCGACTCATTGGATTCTTGAAGCGAAAGGACTCGAAGTAGGACTCCGACCTAGGACCTAGGACTACGGTGAAGGACTCCTTTTTATCAAGGCAGGAGGTAGACCTAGGACCTATGAGGCTACTAGTTTCAATCTTTTAGTAGCTTGGATGCAGGAAAGCTCTTGCGCCATTCATCGAATCAACAAGCGAACAGCGAGTGACCCGGAGTGACCCAAAAGCCACGATATTTTTATGGGAGATGATATGATTCATGCGTTTCTGGATGATCCTTGTTCCCGACTCTTAGATGTTGGTACAAGTTGTACAAGAGAAAAACATAGAACGAATCCCCTTTTGAACATTTTGGAGTCAGCTTCTTGCTTGCGGCCTTTAACTCCGAGGTGTCAATACGATGATCGCCAGCCCCTCTGGTGCATGGGCAGGTGTTGGCTTTGCTATCCCGGTAGACACAGTGAAACGCATCGTGCAGCAGCTCGGTATATACTGTATCAAGCAGTCTTGGAATGTTTTCGATACATGTTCAAAGAGCAGCTCGGACATGGACATGAGTCGCTGGTCTCAATGTACTCCCTACTCCATCAGTTCAGCATTTGTTGCTTCCAGGCAGCTCATCAAGCATGGCTATATCAAGCGGGCATATTTGGGTCTCCACTTGGCCACGGAGCAGTTGAATGAACATCTCGCTCGGTCAGTGGGTCAGATCACAGGAGTCCTGATCTTGAAGATGGATCCGGGAAGCCCTGCTGAGAAGGCTGGTAAACTCTACCGGGGCGAAGGGCTTCAACTCCCAAGTTCTTCATCATCGGCCCAAAAGGGAAGTCAAGAAACACTGCCAAACTTGTGACATTTTATGACCTTATGACCACTGTACTCCAGCAATCAACCAAGAGGTTGCAAGATTTGTTGGATGAAGATGGGTCAAAAGTGCCATTCCAGAGATACTGGTACCGATGGTCTGGTTCTTCTCACTATCTCTCTATCAAGCTAAACTTGAACCCTTCACATTTCATGTCATCATTTAGATTTGAAGGCGTTTTGGTTTGGTTTCTTAGTTGTGGCTTCTGCAAGATGCAGTGACACGTGCTGGTGATATTTTGTGGGAATTTTGACAGGCGGGTCTACGGCCATTCCTTCAGACACATGGAGGTATCATCGTGGGCGATGAAATTGTTGAGCTGAATGGACACGAGGTGCTAAAGGGAACATAACATTCGTAACATGATGGAATCTGGGAGGAAGGCTACAAAGCTCGTGGAGGTCTCCCGCTTTGGGCAAAATTATAGCCTTTGTAAGCCGTAAGCCACTGTTTCTTTTTGTTCAACAATATGTCATGACAATTCCATACAATTCCGATTTCGACATTCAGTAGACAAGACATTAAAAAGTCATTAAAAACATCCATACATGCTTGTCCAGCAGGATCAATGTCAGACTACTCAGATCTTTTTTTGACGGACAGCAATATGCTAGACAATCAGCAAAGGCAAAAAACATCCTCATGGAATTTGCTTGCACGGCATTGTCGCATTATAAGTAGTACGGCCAGTATGGCTTTCATTCAGATATGTATTGCGCATTATGCCCTCATCATTCTCTTGAACACAGCAAGAGTATTATGCAAGAGTATGCACGGGTGAGTCTGAAAGAACTGCCAACACTCAAAACTTTCTAGTGAATATTCAAGCATCGCTGTGTGGGGTGACCCGTGGCAGTCGTGGAGGTGCAGTCAGCAGATGATGTCATGGCCATTCTTGACGAGCAGCATATAGGTGATACCATCCAGGCGGCAGCTCAGCTCGTGCTCGGACAAAAAGCTCAACCTAAGTAATTAACTGACAACCAACCATCAAAGCATGTCAAAGTCCTCAAAGTTGAATGGACGCTTCAAGAACAAGAACAAGCTGCTGGCTGCAAAGCACTAAAACTTAAAACATTAATCATGCGGAAAGAAAACACTTTCTGCCCGCTGTAGCAGGTTAAGTTGACACACGACACAAAACTTCTCTTGAGCCTGGTGGTGAACTTAAAATCAACCTTAAGTTTCCCTAAAAATGTAGGAACCAAATAATTAGCGCAAGCTATCCTGCGTCCAGTTCCTAGTAGCTTAAGGAAGCTAATAGCGACTCCCTAGCTACCTCCGCGGCCACCCCCCCCTTGCGGGCTCAAAAAAAGACGAAACGGGAACATGGTTGAGAGATGTCGACCAGTGAGATCCAGTGAGTGGAGCGAACCCCGCAGGTGAAGTACCGCCGTCGCGAGGCCCGGAGAATCGAGACGCGCCAGACATCCGTACAGCTGGGAGAGCGTCCACGACACGCACGTCAAGATTCGTCCGGCTTGAGACCCGTGAGAAGGTCAAAGCTTTGATGTCAAAGCGGCTGAAAAGAATGAGAAGCAGACAGCGATGGCCTCCATAAGCTTCAGCTTTGCATTGACCAACGTCTTTCAGAAAAGTCGCTTGCCATTTTCTTAGCCTTGTTAGCATCATGTATAATATATATACTGTATATATATATAGTTTATTGCTAACGAGAAACTGATGCTGGTCGTGAGATCAACTGGGGCACCACATACACAATACAAGTGAACCTTGAAGCTGAAAGGTGTTTCCTTTGGACCGGCATTGGACTTTCCCTCAAAGACTCTGATGTTTTCAACCGTAATGCATCACCAAAAAGGATCGCTTGTCAAGCATTCTGAACCTTCTTTGACAAGGAAAATGGAACGCTTCCGAGATGCTCCTCTTTGTGCTGTCCATCATCACAGTCACACCCAAAAAAATCGCTCG